GTCCATAGCATAATCACATTTTCGATCATACTCACACAATATTCCCAATGTCATTATCCCACATAACTTACCATGTCAAGAATAATACCATGCCCGAAGACATCTCCATTTCCATGTACCTAGTTATTCCACTTAAGGTAACAATATTTCAATCACAATACTCCAACACCACTAGGGCGATTACAATATCACATAGGGCAAGTCATTTAACGCCACATAGGGCGATACAATACCACTTAGGGCAAGACATTCAACACCTCATAGGACGATACAATACCACTTAGGGCAAGACATTCAACACCTCATAGGATAATACAATACCACTTAGGGAAATACATTCAACACCTCATAGGATGATACAATACCACTTACGGAAAGACATTCAACACCTCATAGGGCGATACAATACCACTTAGGACAAGACATTAAATACATTCAACATCTCATAGGGCGATACAATACCACATAGGGCAAGACATTCAACACCTCATAGGGCGATACACTACCACTTAGGGCAAGACATTCAACTTAAGTTCCCAACAATTATTCAATGATGTTTATTCACATAAAACCATACCATTGTGTTCCATTAATAATAAATATAATGTTTCTCCCTTACCTGAGTACGAGTTAGTGCTTTTGTTCTGCAACCTTGCTAGATCCTCCCTCGTCTTTTCCGACATTAGGATCTTTCCTCATCCATATGACACAACAATAATAATTAATCATTTTTTCATATCATACCAATAAACAATTACATACAACACTTGTCATTCATAAATGGAATAAGCTCATATTCAATGATTCGAAATCACTAAATATTCGGAGTTCAAAGCATCCAATAAGTAGTATCTCCCTTTTTAAGAAAACATCAATAACCCACAAACCTCATTCCTAATCTCATCTTTCACCCTCATTCACAGCCATTTCGTTTTGGTCCAAGGTTTTTCCAAAGTCAACACCATTTTCGAAACTAAACTCTCAACCACGAGTTTCAAAAGAAAAACAACATAGAAACGAACCACACCCCAAAAAAGAAGGGTTATGAGGTTTTTCACATTAAGAGAAGAGATCCATAAACACAATAAGGGGTTTCACAACAAGGGTGAATGTTAGAATCAAGAGGTTTTACCTCTTCTCAAGCTTTCTTTCACTTATACACGTGCTAGGTAGGGGGAGCCGCTTCTCTTCTTTCCTTTTTCATAAAAAGTGTCCCCTTTTCTCACTTGGGACCTCTATTTTAGGTTTCAGGGTTTTGGGCTCTCACTCGGGCGACGGGGGCTCGCTTGGGTGAGAAGCCCTTGATTATTCAATTTTTTAAACTCTGATGATGTCGCTCAAGCGATAGCTCCTTGCTCAAGCGAGAATCATGCAAGGTGCTCAATCTCCCTCGCTTGAGCGACCACTCTCTCGCTCAGGCGAGAATCACAAGTAAAATCCTGATAGAAATTATGAGCCCCTCGCTTGGGCAAGACCCTCTCGCTCAAGCGAGAAACACTCAGCACAACCCAAAAATTCTAAGTTTCCTAATACTTAGAAAAAGGAAAATTTGAGGTGTTATAGATTATATCTATTGAACACATATGGGTTTAATCAAAGATTTGTTTATGAAGAGTTACAAAAGCATGAATGATAATATATTTGTATAAAAAGACTTGGAATTGGATACTGGAATATGGGCTGACTTATTTACGATCAATCTTTCAGTAATAACAATAACATAATTTTTAATTTTTGCTTCTAATTGTTGGCGACCAATTAACCCTAGTCTTGAAAGAGAATACATTTTTTGTCCCACAATTTGTTTCATTCCATGTGTCATCAACTATAATTAGTCAGAGAAATACTTAATAATTAATTTTTTAACTTAAAAATATTATTTTTCAACCAATTATTATTGATGGTACATAGAGTGATACAAATTGTGAGACAGTATATATGTATCACTCCATCTATAACTTTCTCTAATTGATTAAAAAATATATTTCAGTTAAAAATTTAATTATTATATATTTTTCGATCAATCACAGCAAATGACACATAGAGTAACACACTTTTGAGATAAGAAATGTGATGCCATTATTTTGCTAGACGCAATTATCATATTTCACTAATATATATATATATATATATATATATATATATATATATATATATATATATATATATATCAAAATGTATAAGGCCCATGTGATCATGATTATGGTTGTCACGACCCAATTCTCGGTTGGAAACCAACTCTGTAATTTAGGAAGATGTAAATTCGATTTCGACCTCTCCCAAAATAATTGGAATTGCTACTATGTTTTTTGCATCTAAAACATAGAAAACTCTCTTTTATGTCTAACTTGGCATACAACTATTAGCATTCAGACCGACCATAGTAAAACGATACTCTTGTTAATTGCATAAACTTTTATACCTTTAAAAATTTTATTTTACTCCTACGTATTCCTATGTGCAATAGGAAAATCAAGACTATATAATTCTGGATAAAATATTAGTTGATTGATTTAAGTTAATTTTTGCAATTGATTTAAAAACGTTTATAAGATACAATTTCAATTTAATGGAACTAATAGTGAATAGTTGGTGTTGGATGCATATCTTTTTCATAGGAGAAGTTAGAGATAATGCAAACCATAAATGGGATATAAAAACTCCATTAAATTTGTTTAATAATAAAATAAATGATTAATTAAAAATTTAGGTTATTAATTATAAATGGAACTAATGGTATAGAGATGGTGATAACGATAGACCATCTTCTCACTTTAGGGAAGTTAGAGACGACACAAACCTTAACCGAACTATAAAAATTACCTTAACCAAACTATAAAAATTACATTAAACTTGTTTAGTAATAAAATAAGTGATTAATTAAAAATATATAGGTTATTAATTTTAAATGAAATTAATAGCAAAGAAATGATGTTGGTTATAGATATTCTTCCCACATGTAGAGACGACGTGAAATATAATAGGACAATAAAAATTTCATAAATCAATTAGGTAACAAAATATTATTTATATATTTATTTATTTACTATTTTTTAGAAATAAAACTTATTGTATCTAAATTGCATATGTTAAGTTTCTCCTATTAGAATATAAAAAATATTTATCATTACAATTCTTATTACTCCAAAATATTTACCAGCTTATTATTTACTGTCTTTATATGAAACTTGATTTCTTGTTAATTAGTGTTACTATTATAACTACTATCAAGATTATCAATATTATTATAGTTAGTATTAGGATTATTTTTTTATTAAATAAGAAAAGAATAAGAAGTACCTGCTAGATGGACCCACGGAGCAGAGGAAGAAGATCACTAACACAAGGAAACAGTTTCATTCAATAGAAAGCCATAACCTAAACAAATTGAATGTTGACTTGTTTTGAATGATAACAGTATCGTCTAAAGTTCCTCCACCAAGGTTATTCCCATGCACAAAGTTAAATAACAAATTATCTCCAACAATTTAAATTCATTGTCTAAAAATCGGATCAAGGATTTATTTTCCTCTATCACAAAAAAAATTGAAAAAATATTGGAAAAAGTTCTTGCATACTGACTTATTGAGTGTCTAATATGGAAATAGTAGGAATTCAACAAAGAGCTAGAAGAAATTCAATAAATCGCAGGAAACTCTATGAAGTGACAAAGTTATGAGGCATATTTGAGACTTATGTGTTATTAGAAGTAAGAGAAGTTAGAGATTTAAGAAAATGATATAAGAAAAAAAATCTTAAGATAGACTTTAGAATGTTGGAAGACTTTTATATACTTAAAGATATATAATATTAAAGATGATAAATAATACTATCATCATATATAGTCAAGATCTTTCATATCAAATCATTAAGAATAAATGTATAAAACTAGAACCTAAGCGGAAGCGTACCTTAATGTATTCATTGAGAATATGATGGATGAACTTTAGTTATCCTTAGTTTTGTATGCAAATGCAAGTTCAGAATAGAACATGTAGGTTCTTTGGCCTTCCAATTGTAGATCACTCTTAGTCTTTAGTTCCTCTTCCAATGGGATGAAGAGAATGGAGATGATTTTTGCCTCTTGCTTATATTATATTGTGGTTCATCTTGTGTCATGTTGATGTGTCTACAATTGGGGACCATAACCCCTATTTATAAGAAGTGCATACCCTTCCATGAAGGGATATGCTATTTGATTTTCTTATTTCCAATTTTGCCCATCATAAAATAGAATTAAGACTTTAGGTATCTACACACTAATTTCCATGATAATTATGTCTATAGGCACAAACCTTACTTGAAGTAGATCACTTTAATTTGGCTAATACAAATAATGACACAAACACAATTAAATATTACATGTGTGACCCAAAATTTCTTGCAAATGAATCAAGCTGAGTAGTTTACCATACACATCCCTATTTATAAAACAAGGGACCAACTCTAAGAAAATATAGTTTGCATATAGCTCCATACAGTTGTCAACATTTATAACACTCTACTATATATTACAATTTAACCTTATCATTATACCACCCTTCAAATATAATCCTTGATCTCAAGGATTTAAAAGTTGGAAAATGTTACTAGGGATCATAGGTTAATTGATGTATTGACAAACTTGTTTCTTCTTAGTGGGAGCTTTGAATCTCTTTTATAAGGGTCTGTTGTTTCAAATTTATTTATTTTTGTAATCATAAAAATGAGGACATTGTTGGTGCGAAATTGTGTTGTGATGAACAACAATTATATCTCTTAAATTGTAATGGTTAACAAAGGATTAATGTAGAATTTGCAGACAATGAAACCACAGAAAATAGAATTACTGTACAAAAAAAATTCAAGGTAGTACAAGGTGATAGATCTAACAAATAGAGACATTAAAGAATACCTGCTATATATTTTGGTACAAAATGTAAATTTGCTTCTTCCTCATTCTGCAATATTAATGCTGATCAATTGTAACCTGGTTATTTTTGTTATGCATTCAGTGTTAGTTGAACCTAAGAGTTCCCCCAAACACTTCATTGAAGAAGGGCTATTCTTTCCATTTGGTATTAGATATTAGAGTAGCTAGCCCTCATATGAAGCATCCAGAGGAACTCCAAGATATAACCAACAAATATTAATCCCTTACACATAATTCACTACTTGCCATGGCTAGATAAATGTATAACCATTATTCTATTTATATATGGTGGAGCAAAAATTATGTTAAGAGAACATTATAAAGGTGAATTTTATGTGGGCACAGAGAAATCTACGTATAAATGAAGTTTCTTTCTATTATAATCTATGAACCTGGTCAAGATGTTTGCTATGAAGGGGAATCAAAATTAAAGATTGATCCCTTTTGCGGTGGATGATGAAAGCTGGTAAAGTGATCCAAAACAAATTATGAAGAGGAGCTCATTTAATTTGTAGTTAGGAAAAAGAATCTAATGTGTATTGCCCCCTCTTTTTGATAAGTGAATAAATCCCCAATAAAATAGGCATGCTTAGAAGTTATATGTCAAAAGATTGTGTTCTTATTCTTTATTTATTTATTTTATTGCTTAAGTTTAGAATTCTCACCCTATAGTCTTTAGAGATGTCAAGTATCTCCATTCTACATCATAATAAGCTTAACTATTTTGTTATATAGTCTTTAGATGTTTTAAAATGCATTTGTACCAATAAAGTGTTTGTCTAATACTGTATAACTTTATTAGATCCCCAATTAGATCAAAAATATTAAAAAATTTATTTTTGGGAGCAACATTTATTAAGGATGATAATCAGACACCCCAATAGGAATTAATTCCTTATGTAGTAATTCATAATTATATTTTAGTTACAATTATATTGCCTTTACACACTTGCAGTAAATTATGTTGGGGCTACAATTTTAATTATAAAATACAACGTTTTTAAGAAATCAATTGCATAATATATTATTTTTCCTGAACTTGAGGAAAGTTATGCCCTAGCTAATTTACTAGAATCATATTTTGCAGTTTACTTTCTTCTTGAAAGCTTTTACTTTATTCCTTCTTTTTCTATAGTTTCTTTATCAATTTCTAAGATAGTGCACAAAAACAATATCCAGAAAACCTTTGAGATAAAAATAAGATTAAGGTGATCCATTAACAGAAATATTGTGGATTTCTTCAAAAATTCAGAATGTGTGTTTAGTCTTCACTCACACACGAGCTATGTAACACGATGAATGAATTTCATAGTATCATAATACTTCTTTCATGGTGGCGTAAATATCCTCATTCATTACCCCTATCCCTTGAAATATAAATCGCAATACTTGCTGGTTTTTGACAAGTTCCTTAGATTGGGTGAACAAAATGGTTTCTAAAATTCCTTCTAACATACACCAATTTTCTCATAGCATTGATATTATCCATTCATTTGGTTCCATAAATTAAAAAAATCATCAAAATTACTTATAGTTGTATGAGTTATTAAAAATATATTTAAGTCTTTTTAACCTGACCAAGTTGACTAATGACATGCAAAACCTAAAATTAATCAATTTGATATTTCGGTAAATCATAATTAGATGCCAAATTGATTACCAATAATTATGTTATTCTCAATGATCAAATTGAAGTTTTAGTGGATAGAAGGTGCATTGGTAATGCAGAAAGGAGAGGAGAGATACTTGCATAATTGAAGATGGAATTTAAAAAAGACAAATGATTCTTTTAATTGAGATATCATGCCATAGTGTGATTTTGCTAAAATGGTGAAGCCTTGTCCAGTGGTGTGTTAGTTCTTCATTACACTATTATGATAAAATTGTTAATTTTATCATCGAAATCATGTGTAAATGAATCTTAAGAATTTACAGATTTCACATAATAAGAATGATTATAGATTACTAACTTCTATCCATGGTGACACGCTCATCATTTAAATGTTGTATGTTGTTCTTGGTCAATAGATAAACTTTTCTATCGCTTTCCCTTCTTTTCTAGAGACAATCTTTATGGGCTAGATATAGGGACAATGTTTCAAGTCATTTTCTGATTAGTATAGTGCTTCCATCAAACATTATATATAGACTTTTTCTCAGAAGTCTTATCATTTCATTCACAACTCTCCATTCAAGAATTACACCATTCAAAACAATACAATATATCAATTCACGTAACATGAGACATTTCTTACATTCTCCCACTTGGCTCATGTGACAATAAAATTCATGATTTGATAAACATTAAACATAATACGCATAATCAAAATATGTTTTCCATATTTATTACATTACAAGTCATAATTAAGAACAAGAACTAATAAGAGTCATGATGATTGTACATCATTTGTCTCATATAGTCCCTTCCATATACTAGTGTATTAGTCTTTTATCCCTAACATGACACACATTAATGAGAATCACATAATATTTTTAATAATAATGTCATTTAGGAATAAAATTTTATTTTAAACGTTATAATTCTTACATGTGCATATAAGTATAAAAATAAAATATTAATCAGAAACCTAAATATTAATAAGCTCAAAGTGTCAAACATTAAGATTTTATTAATAACAATATGTTCAAAATTTACTAGTAGACATAATGCCCATATTTTTTAACATGATCAGTCAATATTTTGGACGGTAACCCTTTCATCAAATGCAATCATAAGGTTGGTACTAATATGCTCAATTGACACTCTAAGTTTCTGAACTTCTTCTTTAACGACAAAGTATTTCAATTCCATATGTTTAGCACCTTTGGAATACTTGTTAGTTTTAGAAAAGAAGATTTCTATAGAATTATCACAATAAATTTTCAGCGGCTTGGCAATACTGTCGACTATCCGAAGTCCTGAAATAAAGTTTCTAGCCACTTAGCATGAATTGTGGCTTCAAAGCATGCCATAAATTCAAATTCCTTCGTGGATGCAACAATGACAATCTGTTTCTAATATTTTTTAAGTCTAGGAATTTGGTTTACACTTTATACATTCCATTCCATAGCATTTTTAATCGCATTCCCGTTTTCCCTCTTTTTGATCTGCTAGGGTTTAGTTTATTTTCGTTTTTCTCTCTTCTCCATTTCGGTTGTTCTTAATCCTTCAATGGAAGGCTAAATTTTTGTATTGAACTCATTTGATAATGTATCACAACTCTTGAGGTTTGGTTCTTAATGCATTTTCGGTTTCTCGTGTATTGATTTCTTCTATCCAATTTCTAATTGTGGTTTGCTTAATTCCATGGTTTAGAAATAAGTTTGTGAACTGATTTTCGCTTAGTCAATCATTTCTCTAGTGCATGAATGCTTAGTTCGTGTGAATTTTTTAAATATTGTTTGTTTGTGTTGAAATCGCTTAGTTTGAGGCTTGGGCGAATGAGCTTTGAATTGACTATCGCTTAATTAGTTGATTCTTAACAAATTTAAAATTCAATGATTAGAATCTGAAATTGATAATATGAAATCGACGATTGATTTGTGATCAAGGAAACCAATGGGGTTTAGCCGCTTCTCTTTATTGCTAATTATTGTTTTTGTTCTATTTATGTTTAATATTCATAACAACAACAAATCTTCCCCCTGTGTGTGAGTACAAGATGTTTGAACCATTGCCTGAAAGATAATTTTTGGGAGACGACCTATAAGTCACTTCCTAGTGCTACTTAAACTGTTATATTATTTGCATCGAATACGGCCTCGATCAGCGCACTTGTTATAATTTCAAGACATTTTGACACTAGTGTTGCAATTTTTACTAGTTTTAGTATGCCTCATTGTAAAGAGTAAAGAATTAGTATTATCATTAATATAATTTAATTAACCAGGCAATCAGATGCTTTGCCCCACGTTGAAGGTACGTTGTACTATTAGTAGAAAATAAAGTATATCAATTCTATAATATTTTTTGGCGCTTTCTAACATGCGAACTATAATTTAGTTCGCATGCATGAGAACTAATTTATAACCGTGGGATTAAAATTTGTGTTAACCGGTTAACGGAAGGCCACCGTTTTGAAGTCGGTTTCAGGTAGGAAGACTTCTTCTTAGAAGTCGGTTTACACAAAAATAACATTTCCTCGTTATGATGTCTCTCCTGGTCATGCCGACTTCCATGGGAATATGATGTTTCCCTATGAAGTTGGTTTATGGTGTAGTAACATGCCACCAATGTGAAGTTTCTCCTGGGCATACCGACTTCTATAGTGTAACATTGTGTTCTTCATAGAAGTCGGTTCTTAGAGTAGTAACATGCCAATTGTGTGATGCTCACCTAGACCAAACCGACTTGTACTTACATTGTAGTGGTTTAATGTCTCACCGACTTCTATGAGGATCGATTTAAAATATATTAACTTAATTTAGTGTAATGTTTCTATAAATACTTTCGAAAGAGAGTGTGGTTACTTCCTTCATCTGGAAAAATATTTACGATAGATCTTATTGAGGTGAGTTTGAATTTAAAATTTTTGTTTATATTTATTCATTAATGTTATATATTTGTGATGTTAAGTTTATAGGTTTTACATTTTGTTTTGTTAGATGGAAGAAGAAATGAACATCAATAACGAAACTCACTCACAAGTAGAGGTATGAAATGTTGTTTATGCTTGTTATTTATTATTAATGTTCATTCTTATTTTTCATATTGAATTTAGGTTTTTGTTTATATTGATTCTAGGGTTTAGATGAATGTAATGGTAGTGAAGATGAAAATGTGAATGAAGTAGAGGGGTTAGACTTTGAAGAGATTGATTTTCGATTATTAAATGAAAATGAAGTTAAGAAATATAGGTTTTTAAACAATGATATCGCTTACAAATTTTATAAGATGTATGGTATGAAGAAAGGATTTGGCATAAGAAAATATCATACTCGGCGAGACAAGGATGGTGAAATTTTATGGCAATCATTTTTTTGTGATAGGGAAGGATTTAGAGATAAGAAAAATGAATTGGTTCGGAAGAGGGCGCCGAGAAAAGAGACTAGATGTGGTTGTTTAGCAAGAATGAAAATCCACATTGACAAGGAAAAAGGAGATTGGTATGTTAGTTATTTTGTTGATGAACATAATCATGAACTGGTCGGTGAACATTACGGTGCAATGATAGCCTCTAACCGATGAATGACAGAGACAGACGTG